CACTGTACCCCTAAGTGCATTAATGTACATAGTTACCATTCAATTAAAAAAAAATTAAAAAAAAAGAACGACAAATAAAATCTCTGACTATGATGGAGCTGGGAGTAATCAGGTTGCTCATGTCTGTTAGTGTCTCTGATAAATTGAGGTGCATTCTGGTTGGATGCATAAATATTGATAATTGAAATCTCATTGTATTGAGTATTACCCTTAACAAATATAAAGTAACCATCTTTGTCTTTGCTCACTTTTGTTGGTTTAAAGCCTATTGCATCTGTGAATAAAATTGCAACACCTGCTTTTGTCTGCTTTCCATTAGCCAGGAATATAGATCACCATCCCTTCACCCTGAGTCTATACTTGTCTTTCACAGTAAGGTGAGTTTCTTGGAAGCAGCAGATATCTGGCCTGAGTCTTTGTATTCAGTTAGCCAGCCTGTGCATTTTTAGAGGGCAATTTAAGCCATTCACATTGATTGAGACTATTGATAATCCTGGTATACTTTTCAGTATTGAGTTTTTTGAAGGTCCAGTGGACATCTTTGTTCCTTTTATCACTTTGGAGATTGGGATTTGATCAAAATTTTCTGGGTGGGTTTATTTATGCGGTGGAGGATTGCGCTGCTCATTATGGAGGATAGGTTCTGAGGATATCCTGGAGGGCTTGTTTAGTAATGGCAAATTTCTTCAGCATGTGAATGTCGTTAAAGTATTTAATTTCTCCATCATAAATGAAACTTAGTTTAGCTGGATACAGGATTCTGGATTGAAAGTTGTTTTGTTTTAGGAGGTTAAAGGTTGATGACCACCCTCTTCTAGCCTGAAAGGTTTCGGTAGAGAGATCTCCAGTCATTCTAATATTCTTCCCCTTGTAAGTTAATGTTTTCTTGCATCTAGCTGCTTTCAGGATTTTCTCTTTCATGTTAACTTTGGTGAAGTTGATTATGATATGCCTAGGGGACGTCTTGTTTGGGTTGAATTGCGCCGGGGTTCTGAAGCTGTCCGCTATCTGAATTTCAGGATCCCTTGGCATATCTGGAAAGTTCTCTTTCATAATTTCATGATGGAGAGCCTCTGTGTTTTGTGAAGCAATTTCATCACCTTCAGGGATTCCTATGAGGTGAATATTAGTTTTCTTTGAATTATCCAAGAGCTCTCTGAGCAAGTGGTCTATTTTTGCTCTCCATTTGTCATGCTCTTTGGATGATTGGGCATGTTCAAAGTCTTTGTCTTCAGTGTCAGAGATCCTATCTTCTGCCTAGTCCACCTTCTGAATGAGAGATTCCACTGTAGTCTTCAGATCTTTAAGGGCTACAACCTCTTGCTTCAGTGTATCATAGTCTTTCGTCATTTTATCTTTGAAATGATTGAATTCCTGGGACAGTTTTTGAATAATTTGAAATTCTAGTTCCCTCCTTTCCTCCATTCTATTGATCTTATTTGCTATCCAGATTCTGAACTCAATTTCTGACATCTCAGACATCTGTTTATGGAATGGGTCTTCAATTATGTCTGCCCCATCCTTCCTTCGGGGGGTTGGTCTACTCTGGTTGTTCTGGTTACTAGAGTTTTTCCGCTGATTCCTCCCCATGCTGAATTTGCATCTTTCGAAGACCATTCCTAAAACCTTTCGCCAGCGGCTTCTTCTTGTTGTCTAGATAAATAGGGCATGTCTGCCCAGAAAAGTCTCAGGAATGTAACGCTTTTGTTCCTGCTACTGCAGCTGTTGCTCTTTGCCTTGGAGTATCACTGCTCCAGTGTGGTTCCCTCTCAACTGAACATTCTCTCACCGTTCTCAGACCCAGCCTGGAATGCCGGAGCTCCCCAGGAAGCAAGGGAGCAACCTGCAGGCAGCCGGTGCAGGGGATGTGCTGGCTGGCTGGATCAGTTTTCAGTGGGTGCCACTGGGGAACCCCCAAGGAGTGGAGACAGCAACAGGCAGGCAGCCCCGGGGGATCACACTGGCTGGGTGGATCAGTCCTCGGTGTGGCCACCAGGGAACCCCTAGGGTGAAGGGGGTAACCAGCAGGCAGCTGGACGTGGGACATGCTGGTTGGTGGGAACAGTCCTGGATGCACACAGGCAGCGTATCCATGGGAAGCGGGGACTGCTGCCCAAGCAGGCAAGTGGGCACAGGATGCACTGGCTCGCAGGATTCAGTCCTGGGCACGGTGGTGGCAGTGGTGGCAGCATTCCCCAGGGGCAGTGGAAACAGCAGAGCAGGCAGGCAGGTGGCCACAGGAAGTGCTGGCCTGCAGGATTCAGTCCTGGGCATGCAGTGGCAATGGCGGCCACAGCCCCCCAGGAGTGGAGGACCATGGACCAGGCAGACAGACTGGCACAGGGAGTGCCAGCCCACAGAATTTAGTCCTAGGTGCAGCATCTGTGGTGGCCCCTATGAAGCGGGGACAGTGGCCTGGCGCAGAACGCCTTGCCTGGCAGGATCAGTCTGTGTAGAGCATGTGGTCCAAGCAGTTCTCCCGGTGCAGGACTGGGACAGGAGGTTGGTCCTACAAGGGTTGGGGAGATGCTGCTTTTGGGTGTCCTCTCACTGTCTCTTCAGGCAAGGGGGGAAGGGTGGACTGGAAACTCAAAATGGCAGTGAGAATGTCAGTTCCACTTTTCTGCCTGGGGGAGGGTATTTGGGGTCTCAGCAGGGTCCCTCCAGGGGAGTAGACCCCACTGTCAGTAGCTCTCACTTGTAGGGTGAGATAATAGGTCCTCAGTTTATCAATCGCCTGCAGGAGACTCAGAGAAGTGGTTGAAGAGAAGACAAAGGAAA